TAAAGAACATCTTCCCCTGTGGTAAAAAATTGAATTTAACAATTTAGAGAATTTAAACTTAATAAACCAAGTCTAATCTGTATCTTGTTAATAGATAATAGTTTGACAAACTAAAACAGGTTTATGAAAATGATCTTCTTCATAGTTTATGACAATTCATATTCTTCAAGTAGTATGGAAAAATGTTTGTGTTATAACTTATTGCCAATGCAACAAACTATAACCAAACATGAAAAACCATACTACTTTATTGGATAAAAATCTTAAAACTAATATAAAAACGAAAACAAAGTTTCACTGCAAATCACTTTTAAGTAGCAGTAGCCTGATCCTTCTCGCCATCTTTTTTTTCTCCTTCCACGTCTCCAACATCGCCGAACTTCTCACCATCCTTTACTGCTCCATTTATTCCACTCGTGATTCCCTGTAAACTTGTAGTGCATTTGAAGCAAACTTTGTTTAAGTAGCTTTGACTTAAGTGCTGTTACTAATTCATACCCATATGTTTAAATCAAAAAAAATTCCACAAGTAAGAATTATAGTCGTTACCTGTCTTCATGATTGTAATAGAGAAGTGCTTGGCCTATAAATTCTGGAAAACTTCTTTAAAAACAACATTCATTGTTTCTTTCTGAGGTTTACCTTCTTTATCAACAATCAATACCAATGAGTATGTGTTCATTAAGAACATCATCAGCGAGTATGTTGTCAAATGCAGCAAGATCAACATAAAAATCATTAGACAAAGACTGGCATCGAGTAATGATTGTTGAATTCATTATCGACATTTTGTATGTATGCTTGGTTGCTCTAAACTTCCAAAATGCTCTAGTGAGTTGGAAGTTTTCAATGACTCTCCATTCTCCAAAAACAATTAGTCGTTGAAACTTGTTCAACTGTTGTTTTTTAATGGTTGCATGAATTAGTATTCCCTGTAAAACCAAAGAAAAAAACAATTAAACATGTTAGCTAACAAAGCAGTAAATTATGTATGTTTTACAGGATTGGACGAAACACTTACCGCTACATCAGCCAAGATCATCTCGATTGTCTCTCCAGTGTAAGTAGTGAACTGTTTCCATGTGTGGACGATCTTCACTCTTATTTTCCATGATGTCTTGAATGGTTTGATGTCTGATAGCTCGGTGAAACACTCCTTTGCTGCCATTGTTTTTAAGTCGCTTTAGGTTTAATGTGTATGTGTATTAGTAACATATGCTTGACTATTTATAGATCGGCCTTTACTTGGTTGCAAAGATATGGCATATTCTCTATGGCATATTCTCAAAGATATCGTT